CCATCTGGGCATCCCCTGCTGCACCCAGTGCCAGCTCAGGGTCTCAGGGACTGTCCCTGGCCCTGCTGCGAGCACTGGATGGGCTCAGGGATGCTCCAGGACAAACTCAGTCCTTCACAGCTGCAATGGGGAGCCTCTCCAGTGCCAAGTTCCTTTTCCAAAGCTTTACTCTCACTGTAGTGATGCTGATCCACCCTCTGGGGTCAGTGGTTGCTGCTGCTCCCTCAGCATTTTTCGGCATAAAACTTCATTACCACAAAATTCAGAAAATCCCAGGCCAGTGCTATACCATGCAGCACCTGAAGAATTAGATTTATATAATGTACCAAATGCCACTAAAAATGAATTTAAATAATTTCATTTTTCTTTGCAAGCCTTGCATCTGGTGCAGAGTAATTGATGATACTCTTTCAGATTGTTCATTTTTCAGAGACCTTCTAGAGAAGGAGTCAGAAGAGAGCAAAAGATTTAATTTAGCCATTTAGGAAGAATTAACCTGGAAACCTCCAGCTGGTCCAGGGATGTAATTAGTTGTTCCCAAACTCTGGCAATGCTTAAACTCTATAGGTGTCTCATTTTTAAAATATGTAGATTTTACTTTAACATTCCCATGTAACTCTCAAGCAGCACAGCTGGATGACCTCAGCTTGATGGAGTTGAGCTGTTCCTTACCTCATTCTCACCTCCCCTTGATTTCATTCCAAACCAGGTGTGAATGCCCCAGCAGATGTCAATCCTGGAGGCAGCCTGGATCTGAGTTCACCCTGATTTTACAGCAGCTCATGGAGCCCTGTCCCTCATTTCTGCATTTTATGTGAGCTGCTCTGTTCTGGGTTGGAAAGCATGAGGGTGCCGTTCCTTCACAGGGAGGTTGGTGCTGCAGAGGAAAGGGAAGGGGATTCCTCGAGTCCTTGTGGGGTTCAGCATCTACCCTGTCCTCTGCATATCCCTGAAAACTGTTCCCAGGTGTACCTGGGCTTGTGGATATTGTGGATTCATTCCCCAGTTTGGTTTGGGGACCATTCTCAGGTGCTGTTTGGCAAGAGCATCCAGAAGACAAGGATGAGGATGTCTGTGGCTCATGGGGGCCTAGATACAGAGAAGGGTTTGCTCTGAAGAAGACGGGCTGAAGGGTCTACTTGTAGATCTGGAACCTCAGCTGAAGGAGGAAGTTCCTGAAGGCAAATGGATTGATGAAGAGGTAGGTGAGACTGCTGTGACATTGCTGCTAACCGTGGTGATAGCCAGTGGATTTACTTTTTCTCTTGGCTGATACAAGAAAGGTGAGAAACAATTTCTTTAACACAGAAATCAAACAGGTCTCCAGGTTGTGCAAGCGAACGTGGCATTTCTAGGGGAGATGCTTGGGCAGATGGCAGCATCCCCGAGAAGCATCACCTTGTAGAGATGAGAATAGACAGAGCAGGGAGAAATCCACCTGAAAGGGTGCAGGCTGCTGCCAGGAACATCTCTGTGCAGCACTCAGGGAGTGTTGAGCCCTCCCCGAGGAAGGTGAGGGAAGGGTGAAATGACAAAGGATAATTTGGAGAGCATG